GATTGGATGAAATATTTGCCCACAAACCAATTAGTCAGTTAATTGATGATGGTATTAAACTAAATTGGGGTACTGGAAGTCAAAATCTTGAAAAAACTTGGAAAATCAGGTAATCGTACTGTAGTGCGACACGTACTCTAGTGTGACACGTACTCTAGTGCGAAGTCCGACAAAAACACCCTCTGTCGCACTAGGGTAGGTGTCTCACTACGATCCAGGTAGTGTACTCTACTGCGACAAAATATCCTGACTTATTTCCAAGTTCAGGTCACATCCTATCCTTCTTATGGACCATTAAGTGATTTGTCGGGTCGGTTCATGTCACTTATTTCGAAGTGATCTTGCGAATACGATTCGTCGGTTCACATCACGTGTTTCGAAGTGATCCACTGATCACAATTCCTTCGGGTCAGTTCAAGCCACGTATGCAGTGTGTGATCCACCGGGTAACTGAAACTCGTAAGCAGCATATATGATCCTCATTCCTATCACACGCATCGTATGAAGGTATATCTCCGATTGTGATAACAAGTTCATATGCTTGGGCCATATAGTATAAGGTCACGATGAAATTCTACCAAAGCATCGAACAACATCAACATGTCTTCTTCAATCACCTTCATTCCTGGACGCACTACTGCCGCAGAATTATGAGGACTACCAGATCCTGGTGGAACTTAAGCGATCTATGATATCACGACAGGCCCTAAATTGGGACACTATGATTTTCCAATTTTCTTCGAGATTTTGACTTCTTGTGTGTTCAGAAATTTTCACATCTGAAAATGGGACAGAGTTTTGAAAATACCGCTTTTAATTTTTAAAAGATTTCTGGTGTGAGCTTCCTCCGACCCGAATCAAACTTCCAGCACCTCAATCGTGTCATTTGGCATCTTTAGTTGATTGACTAATTGGTTGCAGTTCAGAAATTCGGCCAAAACTGTTAAATTTCGGCCCTGAAAATGTCAACTTCAAAAACTGAAAATGGGACAGAGTATGGGACATAACAGTATGATTTTTCAATTTTTTTCGAGATTTTGACTTCCAGTACCCCAATTTGGTTTCATACCATCATCAATTAACTGACTAATTGGTTTATGGGCAAACATTTTATCCAATCTGTCAAATGTGTGTTCAGAAATTTTCACATCTGAAAATGGGACACAGTTTTGAAAATACTTAACTTTTCGTTTTCTTAAGAAATCTGCTGTGAGCTTTTTTCGACCGGAATCAAACTTCCAGCACCTCAATCGTGTCATTTGGCATCTATAGTTGACTGACTAATTGTTTGTGGGTCAGAAATTCGGCCAAAACTGTAAAATTTCGGCCCTGGAAGTTTCAACTTCAAAAACTGAAAATGGGACAGACTACTAGTACTAGCCCAGAGATTTGAAAATAGAAGGATTTTTTGTTAATGAATATCGTAGCGGAAATCATGTAACCCTATGTTTTAGAGGACGCCGAACACGATAAAACTGGTAATAATTATCATACTCAAGGGTAAATTGCTTAAAAATGCACTTGTATGTCATAGATGTTATTATAAGCTAAGCGCCAGAGCGGCTTATCGGGTGGCACCAGTTTCTTTGCCGAATCTCAGTTATTGTAAACAACGACGCCACTAATTCTCAGCTAATAATCGGGCTTATGAAGGAAAGATCTCAGACGAAAGAAATTTATCCATATTTGCTTAAGATTAACGAATAAGGATTTCAACCAATATCGAAAAGGACTACCAAGGATTGTATCGGGACTTCTATATCGGTATTTCAAGTCTTCATAGAGGTTTTAGGATGAACAAACGGTATTTTAAGATTGTGTTAGGGCTACTTACGGATATGTTTACCTTTCATCTAGAGTTAACGTTACATTATACCTTTCATCTAGAGTTAACGTTACATTATACCTTTCATCTAGAGTTAATGTTACATTATACCTTACATCTAGAGTTAACGTTACATTGTACCTTTCCTCTAAAGTTAACATTACATTATACCTTACATCTAGAGTTAACGTTACATTATACCTTACATTTAAAGTTAAATTATCTTGTACCTTACATCTAGAGTTAACGTTACATTATACCTTTCATCTAGAGTTAACGTTACATTATACCTTACATTTAAAGTTAAAATTATCTTGTACCTTACTTTAGAGTTAACTGTAACTTCAGAGTTAACTGTAACATTACATTATACCTTATATAATTACATCCAGAGTTCTTCTTCTTTTTATTGGTTGGTTTAGACTGTAAGCCTGCCTGAACGGCGGCTTTCTCAACGCGTCCATACCTCTCCAGTCTCCAACTCCTCCTGCTGGAGAGGGACTCCCAAAGTGTATATTCATATTAATCAATAATCATAGATATAGGCAACAGATTCTTGGAGTCTTGAAGCTCTGTTACCAATGCACCGCCTCTAGTGCAACCCCATCGGTTTAGGACGGAGAGACAGGGACTTCCAGGAGCGGTCGTGGCTTACTATTTGTAACTCGTATACGTTTGCAATGTTACTGGTGGGTGTTAGTTCAAGTTGTTTCTTTTGATTCGACATGGAACTTTTCTCAGATCTTGGAACTAAATAACGATTTCTCGATTATTCTCTAAAGCTCTAATGAAGTCAGTAAGTTCCGATATGGGTACACTTGGTTTTCGGATCTTCATATTGTCGGAAGCAGGCCATAAGGGATTTGGTTACCAGATGATTATATTTGTTGAACGAGGATATCAACAAGGCCTTCATTAATTTCTTCACAACTCTTCGCTGACAGAATCAGCATTAACGAAGTCGAATAACAACTTCATAGCTCGTAACTGGCAGGATCAGTATTAATGAGGTCGAATGATTACTTCAGAGCTCGTCACTAACTGGATCCTTATAGATGTCTAACGACTAACGAGGTCCAATGATCTCTAGGTGATACGTCAAAAGAAAGGTAAGAAAATAACATGAATGTATAGTCTTAATGCTATTGCTAAATATACCTTATCGGACCTTATTTGGACGGACATTAATTGAACGCTGGACGCCCTAACGTTCATCTTAATGTCCGTTCAAACAAAGTCCGTTCATTTAAGGTCCGTCTAAGTTAAAGTCCGTTGAATTTTTTTCAAACATTTTTCCACTTCGAACTTTTTGTTCAGAATATGACAACTATGAGAACTTTATTGTGCCGTAAGTTAACGAAGGAAAGGTTCTCCTTGGTCTGCCAGAGGCACAGAAAACTTTACTAGTATATGATGTTTTCAAGGGTCACTTGGCGGAAAAAGTCAACGAAATTATGGCACTCAACAACATAGTTCATGAGCTAGTCCCCGCCAACATGACAAACTTGTTCCAGCCTCTAGATATTACGGTAAATCATCAATATTTGAAAGTTAAGCAAACTATAAATTACATCTTTACAGTATTTTCAATTCGCAAAGGCAACGACCGTCGTTTAATGATGCACAGTTTGATCATGATTCTCATGCTTCTCAGTAAAACAACACACAATCAAACTTGTATCATGAATTTATGTGAATTGATCACATAAATTGAAGGAATTACGCTAATTTAGTTCAACACATTATTACATGTACATTGTACATGGTTGAAACAATTAAATAAACTTCAAATCTTGTTACTCAGATGTATTTATGTAAGTATTATACATTTATGGAATATGGATAAACTAGAATTACTTGAAAATATGACAAAGGGATTGAACCGGGATGGTCCCCAGATAGGTTGAGAAGAAGACTCTCTGATTGTTATTCTCCAATCCTTTGTGTTTTTAGTCTCCGTCTTTTCTTATCAACTTCGCTTTCATGCAGGAAATCTGGGATGTTCTTCTAAAAGTGGACAATGTTTGTGTCTCTTTGCAGTGAGAGTGTCTAACGGTCATATTAGGTCGAAAGTTTGTCGTGATATAACTCATAACTGTAAAGTGTAAGTGTAAGTCTAGAATTCTAAGCTGTCAGGGTTGATACGGAATCTAAAATAAACAGTTTCAGATTATTCCTCAGCTCTAACTAAGTTTCGGAAAGGACTTCCAGATCACTTCCTCGTTTTGAAACCTGGCCTAATGTGTTGAGCACTTTTCTATCTAACCTTGTGTCCGTGACTATTTAAACCTGCTCACCTATTCAGCATATTGTTACTGAACCTCTGTCATAGAAACAACAACCATAACCTGAACCACACTGACCATCAAAGCAGTGATTATAACAGATGATGTGGAGGCAAATGAAACCATGCCCGACCCAGCCATTCCACCAATCAAGCCAATTGTGGTTGCAATGCTAGTTCCTACTTCAAAGTTTGACGTTCCGAAGTTATTCACGTCGTAGAGGACATAGGTGTAGCCCAAATCAATTATCCCATTCAAAAACCTCGTCATGAAGTTAGTTAAAATCGCTACCGCAAGGTTTTGTTGTGTGAGCATCAGTACAAAGTTTGCTACGTATATTAGGGAAACAAACCCCTGCAGTTTACGAAATCCAATTTTGTCTTTTATACAGTGCATAAGGAATAAAGCGGGCATACCTGCGAAGTTAACAAGTGCCAGTAACAAGAGTTCCGGCCCTTGAGTCATGGTAACTGAGCAATCAATGTTTGGTCCTGCTTCATTGATCTTAAGCAGCTGGATCAACGCTGGAACGAGGAGGGTGGTCAACCAGCCATTAAAAGAAACACAAGCAATGAGCAGCCCCATTTTTGTGGTTCTAGCTGCGAAGTTTGAAACAGTCACTGTTTCTGGCTGTTCAGTCACTGTTTCTGGCTGTTCTGCTTCTTCTGACCCTTCTATTTGTGGGACTTTTGTATCTTTTACACAGAAGTGAACCATGATGATCGGAAGAATGAGTACGGGCAATGTCGAGAAAAGTAGAAACTTCCTCCATCCAATCCAATCAAGTAGTAGGAACCCCAACACTGACGACCACATTGACCCGGCAATGAAGAATATCTGTGTTATCAACAAAATCCTGTCTAGAATCTTTTTATTGTAAGCTATTTCAGCGGCCCAAACAAAAAGACTGTTGTATCTGAGTCCACAACAAAAGCCAAGGAGGGCTCGAGCAAGAAGAAGAGCTGTAAAGTTTGCAACTATGCCAAGGATAACTAAACTGCATACACTCAGATATAGCGAGATTAAAACCGTCTTCCGTTTTCCAAACCTGAGATACAATATCATTAAATCTATTTTTCGAATTTCTGTATTACTACTAGCAAATGTTTCACTGCAGCTTGAGGGTTACAGTTAAAATCGTCTAGAAAAATACTTTGACCCTACCCTTTTGCCAATGGTCCTGCAATCATAACTGAAACTGCTAAAGAGAAGAACAGAATGTAATCCAATAATCCTTCTTTCCAATGAGACAGTCCAATGTCACATGAAACTTGTTGAGTTAACATTCCTAATACGTGAGGAAATATGGTTATCAGGCTTCCTCGTGTGTTTTACAGATTAGGAGTGAGGTTTTCAATACAAGGAAGGCTATCTTGTAAAATGAAATGTGCAGAAAGAAATTAAAAATTTTCACTTCAAAAATAAATCGAGACAGAAGTAGATACAACTTTGAAAGTTACACCAACCAGGCAAATCCAGTTCTGTTCCATCTGCAAAGTCGCATAGAAGGCAACATATCAACAACATCTTATCATTCCTTGTCCAAGTTGTTTGTTGCTGGTCGTCTTTATCAACCAGGACGTCATTCTCACCGTTTTCCATTATTATTTGGAAGCTTCTTCTGGTTTGAGTGTGTACTATCATAACATTGAAACGATCCATAAAACAAACAATATTGCAATATTTGCCGTCAACTTCAAGATCATCCGTAGAGTTATCTACGAGATGATAGTCCATAAATCAGCTAAAACATTACAACCACATTCAAGTTAATGTGTAGTGTGTAGTAATAGTATGTGATTAAGGTGACTGGAGATTGTCGAGAATGTGTACTGTGTAGTGTGTGAACGGCAATTCCAGAACATGTAAGACTATTGTCCCTCGATCCTCGAGTCTCTCCCGATCAGTAACAGTTAACACAGGAATTCACTCAGCAGCTCACTTTGCAACAATAAACAAAATAATAAACGCTATAAAGGAACCTGGATGTATTGCATACTTTTCAGATCCATATGCACAGTCACATACTCTGTCCCATTTTCAGTTTTTCTGAACACACATTTGACAGATTGGATGAAATTTTTGCCCACAAACCAATTAGTTAGTTAATTGATGATGGTATGAAACCAAATTGGGGTACTGGAAATCAAAATCTCGAAAAAAATTGGAAAATCATACTGTCCCATCAAGGACAAAAGAAAATCGCGGCACGTGCGGAAACGCGATTTTCCCCATTCTCCGCGACAAATCGCGATTTTCACTTTTGCCGCGACAAATCGTGATTTTCTCAGATCCTTACGACAATTCTCGATTTTTTAAGTTCTCTGCGACAAATCGCGCATTTTCTTTAAAATCTGGTGACTAAATTCGCGTATTTTCCTATAAATCTGCGGGTCAATTATCACGTTCTCTATAAGTATAAGTGTATGGAACCAATCACGTTCACATAACAGCCTTCCGAATGTAGGTACGGACTTCGAAAATCGAACAAATATTTTTAGGCTAATAATGATCAGGGTAGCATGAATCATGAACAAAAGTAGTTGAAATGAAATGAAATAATTTGTTTTATCCCGCTTATAATTATATCATCAACCAAAATTAAAATAAAGATTGCCGATGTCAAAGCGGCTGGCCTTGCGATATAACCCAAAAACTAGATACTCAGTATATGAATATACTAACAACAAATTTAAGAACCAAAAGTACTTATATTTTATTAGTTTCTAGAAAAACTTTAAAAAAAAGTTGACTTATAAAATGTTCGGTTCGAGTCATCCTCGATATAACACGTACCTCTGAAGGCAAAGCTCCCGATTTTGATCATCTCATGGCATGAAGTGCGTTTAGACACTTGATAATATTTAAGAATGTGCAGTGTGTAGTAATTGTCGAGAATGTGTACTGTGTAGTGTGTGAACGGCAATTCCAGAACATGTAAGACTATTGTCCCTCGATCCTCGAGTCTCTCCCGATCAGTAACAGTTAACACAGGAATTCACTCAGCAGCTCACTTTGCAACAATAAACAAAATAATAAACGCTATAAAGGAACCTGGATGTATTACATACTTTTCAGATCCATATGCACAGTCACATACTCTGTCCCATTTTCAGTTTTTCTGAACACACATTTGACAGATTGGATGAAATTTTTGCCCACAAACCAATTAGTTAGTTAATTGATGATGGTATGAAACCAAATTGGGGTACTGGAAATCAAAATCTCGAAAAAAATTGGAAAATCATACTGTCCCATCAAGGACAAAAGGAAATCGCGGCACGTGCGGAAACGCGATTTTCCCCATTCTCCGCGACAAATCGCGATTTTCAATTTTGCCGCGACAAATCGTGATTTTCTCAGATCCTTACGACAATTCGAGATTTTTTAAGTTCTCCGCGACAAATCGCGCATTTCCTTTAAAATCTGGTGACTAAATTCGCGTATTTTCCTATAAATCTGCGGGTCAAATATCACGTTCTCTATAAGTATAAGTTTATGGAACCAATCACGTCCACATAACAGCCTTCCGAATGTAGGTACGGACTTCGAAAATCGAACAAATATTTTTAGGCTAATAATGATCAGGGTAGCATGAATCATGAACAAAAGTAGTTGAAATGAAATGAAATAATTTGTTTTATCCCGCTTATAATTATATCATCAATCAAAATTAAAATAAAGATTGCCGATGTCAAAGCGGCTGGCCTTGCGATATAACCCAAAAACTAGATACTCAGTATATGAATATACTAACAACAAATTTAAAAACCAAAAGTACTTATATTTTATTAGTTTCTAGAAAAACTTTGAAAAAATGTTGACTTATAAAATTTTCGGTTCGAGTCGTCCTGGATACGTACCTCTGAAGGCAAAGCTCCCGATTTTGATCATCTCATGGCATGAAGTGCGTTTAGACACTTGATAATATTTAAGAATGTGCAGTGTGTAGTAATTGTCGAGAATGTGTACTGTGTAGTGTGTGTGTAGTGTGTGAACGGCAATTCCAGAACATGTAAGACCATTGTCCCTCGATCCTCGAGTCTCTCCCGATCAGCAACAGTTAACATAGCACTCAGCAGCTCACTTTGCAACAATAAACAAAATAATAAACGCTATAAAGGAACCTGGATGTATTGCATACTTTTCAGATTCATAGGCACAGTCCCATACTCTGTCCCATTTTCAGTTTTTCCGAACACACATTTGACAGATTGGATGAAATTTTTGCCCACAAACCAATTAGTTAGTTAATTGATGATGGTATGAAACCAAATTGGGGTACTGGAAATCAAAATCTCGAAAAAAATTGGAAAATCATACTGTCCCATCAAGGACAAAAGAAAATCGCGGCACGTGCGGAAACGCGATTTTCCCCATTCTCCGCGACAAATCGCGATTTTCACTTTTGCCGCGACAAATCGTGATTTTCTTAGATCCTTACGACAATTCGCGATTTTTAAAGTTCTCTGCGACAAATCGCGCATTTTCTTTAAAATCTGGTGACTAAATTCGCGTATTTTCCTATAAATCTGCGGGTCAAATATCTCGTTTTCTATAAGTATAAGTTTATGGAACCAATCACGTCCACAAAACAGCCTTCCGAATGTAGGTACGGACTTCGAAAATCGAACAAATATTTTTAGGCTAATAATGATCAGGGTAGCATGAATCATGAACAAAAGTAGTTGAAATGAAATGAAATAATTTGTTTTATCCCGCTTATAATTATATCATCAATCAAAATTAAAATAAAGATTGCCGATGTCAAAGCGGCTGGCCTTGCGATATAACCCAAAAACTAGATACTCAGTATATGAATATACTAACAACAAATTTAAAAACCAAAAGTACTTATATTTTATTAGTTTCTAGAAAAACTTTGAAAAAATGTTGACTTATAAAATTTTCGGTTCGAGTCGTCCTGGATACGTACCTCTGAAGGCAAAGCTCCCGATTTTGATCATCTCATGGCATGAAGTGCGTTTAGACACTTGATAATATTTAAGAATGTGCAGTGTGTAGTAATTGTCGAGAATGTGTACTGTGTAGTGTGTGAACGGCAATTCCAGAACATGTAAGACTATTGTCCCTCGATCCTCGAGTCTCTCCCGATCAGCAACAGTTAACACAGCACTCAGCTGCTCAATTTGCAACAATAAATAACATAATAAACGCTATAAAGGAACCTGGATGAATTGCATACTTTTCAGATTCATAGGCACAGTTGACAGTCCCATACTCTGTCCCATTTTCAGTTTTTGAAGTTGAAACTTCCAGGGCCGAAATTTTACAGTTTTGGCCGAATTTCTGACCCGCAACCAATTAGTCAGTCAACTATAGATGCCAAATGACATGATTGAGGTGCTGGAAGTTTGATTCGGGTCGGAGGAAGCTCATCGCAGAAATCTTTCAAAAACGAAAAGCTATATTTTCAAAACTCTGTCCCATTTTCAGATGTGAAAATTTTTGAACACACATTTGACAGATTGGATGAAATTTTTGCCCACAAACCAATTAGTCAGTTAATTTATGATGGTATGAAACCAAATTGGGGTACTGGAAGTCAAAATCCCGAAACAAACTACCCACATCATTTGACCTTCCGCAAAATGGCAGTTATCGTGAAATTATTAATTTTGTTAACAAATGTTTGCAGATTGAGCCAACAAAAACCGTTCGATATTTTTCAGCTTTATTTCTATGAGGCTATGCTATACAAATTTGTTTCGGGATGGTAGCGCGAGGATTAATGATCATTGCTAACTATAACTACTGCGAATTTGTAAACTCGAATTTGTAAACTCTCGAATTTCAAATTTGAAAATTTGCCAATTCGTAAAAAAGCATTTAAAATGGGAAAATATCACATTATAATTTATATTACTTTTAAAATATCACATTACTTTTAAGTGCAATTGATTACTTATAAATATCTCCGGGATTTCGACGCGGGATCATATTATCACTCAGCCCGGCCCGCTGTTAGATAAACA